GCTGGCCCAAGTGAGGTCAGCCTTGCTGCTCCTTGACCTTCAGGGCGCAGGCACCGCGTCAATCAATATCGCCATCAACATACACGGCTTGTCGCTCTTGTTGACCCACGCGTGATTGGTGCCGCGCTGCACGATGCAGTCGCCTGGCTTGAGCAGGGTTTCACCTTCTTCCATCACCATCCACATCTCGCCCGCGGTCACCACCAGGTAGTCAATCGAGTTGGTCTTGTGCATGGACGCATGTTTGGCCGAATCCTGCGCGCGCGGCTTGTTGTGGCTGCCCATGGCCTCGAAAGCTTTTTGTGTGTCTATGCCTGACATCTTGCTTTCCGGCGGAAACTCGACGACGCGAAAGACGGTACCGTTCGGCGTCGGGTCGTGCCGCATCTTGCGTGCGCCCTGGTCGGTGTCGCCCATGTTGTTGATGGGCATCTCGCCCGTCACCCACAGCTCGCTGATGTAAAGGCCGGGCCAGCCTTCGACGGCTGTAACGTTGGGGGCGTCGTCGTCGATGGTGATGACCGACTGGCCGTTCTTGTTGTGGCCTGTGACCACGCGGCGTATGGCTTGTCTCATGTGTTTTTCCTTTTTAACGCTCTTTACTGCAGCTTGATGTTCAGGTTGCGAATCTCGCGGCCCCAGCTTGCGTGCTCGGCCACCACCCGGGCGTTAAGGTCCTCGGCGCTGCCGGTGCCCACCAGCAGGCCCAGGTCGGTGATGCGGGTGCGCACATCCGGCATGGCCAGCACCTTCAGCACATCGGCATTGACCTTTGCAATCACGGCAGGCGGTGTGCCTTTGGGTACGAACATGCCGTGCCATGCGGTCGATACCGCGCCGGGTATGAACTCTGACGCGGTGGGTACGTTCGGCAGTGCTGCAAGGCGCTGTTCGCTGGACACCGCAATCGCTTTCACCTTGTTGCCCTTGATGAGCGGAATCGCCGTGGTGGCCGGGTCAAACAGCAGGCTGACGGTGCCGCCCATCAGGTCTGCAGACGGATTCGTTGCATACGGCACATGGTTGAGCTTGATGCCCATCTGCTTGGACCACATCTCAACCGCCACCTGCGTCTGCGAGCCAACGCCATATGACGCGTAGTCGATGCCACCCGGTTTTTGTTTGGCGGCCTGTGCCAGTTCTGCCAGGTTGTTGAATGGCGCTGCCGGCGTAGCAATCAGTACATAAGGAATGATGGCCACCGTCGCTACACCCGTGAAATCGGTGAGGGGGTTGTAACGCAGCGTGGCATAGACATGCGGGTTGATGGTGATGACGGACGACACCGTGAACAGCACCGTGTGGCCGTCAGCCGGGCTTTGCTTGACGTTCTCTGCACCTATGCCGCCGGCCGCACCGGCGCGGTTGTCGACCAGCACCGGCTGGCCCCACATCTGCGACAGCTTGTCGCCCACCAGGCGCGCCGTCGTGTCGGGTGAGGTACCGGCAGGGAAGGGGACGACCAGCCGTACCGGCTTGCTGGGCCAGGCTGCGGTCTGTGCGAAGGCCGGGCTGGCGCCTATGGCTGTGGCCAGTGCGGCCGCGCTTGCGATTGTTGAAAGAAGGATGTTTCTGCGTTTCATGGCTTTTCTCTTGTCTCTGTTGTAGAAGTTATGGCTGGTCTGAATGCATCAATGTGCTGTGGCTGCGCTTCCGGGCACAGGCAACGCGCTGACCAGAATGGCCGCAACGATGCAGGGCTCGTCACCGCGCACGCTCCATGAGTGGCGTGTGCCTCGCTGTATAAGGATGTCGCCCTGTTTGAGCAGCTTTTCGCCTTCGTCCATGATGGCGAAGATTTCGCCCTTGAGCACGATGATGTAGTCCACCGTCAGGGTGGTGTGCATCATCGGGTCGCTGTTGCTTTTGTCCTTCGCATGCCCCGCGCCGATGGACGTGAAAGCTGCCGCTGCGTCGGCGTTGTTGCGCCACACCTTGTCTGGCGGAAACTCGACGATGCGCAAAATGCTGCCGCCCTTGGGCGGCTCAAGCTTCACCGGGCGGTCTGCCGGGTCGTGATTGCCAGCGTTGTTCGCTGGCGCGCTGTCGGTTTCCCAGAGGTCGGTCAGTGCCAGGCCGGGCATGGATTCCATCTCTTTCACGCACGTTGCGTGGCCGTCCATGGTAA